TTCCTGCTGCGATTTGGCCACAGTCCGTTTGTGCGGTCTCACATATATCTTCTTGCACTGAGCAGGGAAGAAGACCTGTTCTCACTTCTCCACATACTTCCAGGGGTAGGTAACATACCTTCTTCTGCTCCTGAGGGGAAGTTAAGTTCTCTGGCCACTTCCTGTAAGGCTTCTGTGTAAATCCTTTTGTTGGAAAGAGGACAGAGATTGTTTTCCGTCTCAAATCTGTATTTGAAACATACTTGTTAAGAACAAGTATGTTTGAAATGAAGCTCTTTGCCTTTTGTAGTAAAATGGACCTCTTCAGCATGAATCCATCCAGCTGTTCGTTTCAAACACTGCTATTCCAGACGGGGTATAATAGTCTTATTAATTCTTCTGCCACCTAGAACCATGTACTATCAAGGTTTTCAAGAAAAGAGGAAAGCAAGTGGGGGAGAAGGACAGCAATTAATTTCATTTGATTCTGATACTGCAACTATCTCTTCCCATCTAATTTATTTCTAGGAAAAAGAGGAACGTAGTTTATACAAGTAAACCAGACCGAAGTGAGGAGAGATGCCAAACGGGTAAAGAGCTGAAAACGTGAAATTCAGCTGCCCTTTCTAAAAAGCATCAGTTATGACATAAATCCATTGGATTAATCTTGCATAGAAGCCATGCCAGTGATTTACCAGCAAAAAGGGCAGTCCTGTTCTAGTGACACAGCAGATGGAAACGGCAGCCTTACAGTATCTACTATGCACTGCATACGTCAACACTACCCAGGCTTTTTCTTAGAGAAAAGGAATAATCATGGCTGTTTCTCAGTCACAGTTCTGCTCTTGGTGAGTCCTAGAACAGCCTTCATTGCTTACATGTGAGAGACAGAGGGGGGAAAAAAGAACCTATCTTGGCAGTGCATTGTTGCTCGACAACAAGTACCGTAAATCATTTCCTGACACGTACCTGGCCCCTTTTGCTGTGCAACTGTGGTTCTCTTTGTTCAAGTCATTGTAACAGGAGAATTAGATTTCCAAAAGCAGACTTATTTGAGCCAGTCTGAAAGAGATGCTCCACCCCCTCTAAAAAAACAAGTTCACACAACTAAGGGGTGTTCGCTTATTTTTATTAAAAACAAAACTCTTCAGTTGTGACCAGCTCCTGGTGCAGGATTTTACTTCACTTACAACCAGTGTTCTGTTGATCTGAAATTAAATGTAAAATGTGCAATAAATTATATTCAGCTGAAAAGCAGCCCATGTTCCCTTTGCATCTGTAGGACACCCTTGCAAATAAACTCCTGAATAGCAAGGGTTGCAAGTTTTGTAAATGTAACTGCAACATCTGTCACATCCTGCTTATTGACCTCTTTTGATCGCTTGTGTCTGTAACTAGTTGAACTGGGCAGAAATCTCCGCCAGAAATTCCTTTTTCATGTCTTGTCACTTGCATGAAGTGTATGGTCAAGAGTGAGAGCCAGTCTATAGCGACTAGGATGTGGAAGAATACTCCCAGGAGGAGTACTGAGAATTAAGTTTTGCATAAGCAAGTGCAAAATAGTGACAACACATTTACTGCTCATTACAAAGAAGAATCTTAGCATAGCCCTGTATCCAGCAGAGCAATGACACCAAGGAGTGTTTTCCTGAAAAAAAAATTGCACAATAAAACAATTCTCCTAATCTCTGACAATTTCCTGAGATAGTTTCTGCTGTCATGGAAGTGTTTTCTTGCCTATTGCCTACATTAAAGTGTAGAGAAATAGCGATGTGATTCTAAAAACTGCTTCAATACTTCAAGATGTCCTGTGGTATTGCTACACTTGAAAAATAACATTTCTGAGAGACAGAGTGCATTGTTTCTACTCCAGCAGTTAAAACCTGTAACAGGGTAGCATCTTTGGGTGCAAACTTTAAAATGTGAGGTGACACATCCATCTCTAATTGACCCAGCAAATGCTTAAAAATACCTTAATGAGAATCTGGGAACACAGGCTAGTCTTTTCAGCCAGAGCCTTTAAACTGGAACTTCTTGAGGTGGAGATACAGGTTTAGGATTTACTTTTTAGAGTCTTCCCTTGTCTTCCTGCGCGTGCTCTCGTCTTTGACAACCGTATCCCAGGGTGGCCCAGCCAGTGAAAGGCTACAAGGAGCCAGAGCTCCAGGCACCAGTTCTGCTGTAAAAACTGTCTAAACCTCCTCCCGTGCAACTCAACCAGTAGGTTCATACCTGAAGACAGCTCAGCCGCCTGGCCAGGGCTTGGAGTCAAGCAGATGCTTTCCTCTTAATCACAGCTGTGTTCTCATTAGAGAACTGACTCAGTTCTCCTGCCTTCCCCCTGCACCTCAGAATTATCTTTCTCTCTAATTGCAAGGAAGTTTGTGCAAGGGAAAGATGAACCTTAACTTTGTACTTTGAACATTTGAATTTGCGACTCTCGTTAAAGTAAAATCCCTCACGATTAATACCGACACAGGCCTTGCCCTGTTCCCTGGCTAAACATCGTGAAAAATATATAGGTGGTTTTTCCCTGCCAGATCAGTCCACCAAGGATTCAGACTCGTGCTTCTCCCCTCCTTTCAAGTACTGCGAGTGCCCTTCCCCATCCATGAGGCTGCTGCAGCAGGTTCTTCTCTGCAGTAGTTAATGAGCGAGCTCCATTTTTGCTTCCCTGCAGTGTTTGTCATTGTCAAAGAGTTGCTGAATTGTGTCCACATGGTGGAGTCTGCTGCCCGTCCTGTCCATCTCCTCCCTTGGAGC